GGGAGCATTCCAAAGGGAAGCTGAGGGCAGGCCGAGTTAATCAGTGCCCGGGGAACACTTGGCCATGCCTCACGTGCTGGTTGGATTAAACTTTGCTGGGTTCAAGGGAGTGCAGGGGAACAGTTGTGTGCCTCTCAAAGGTGCTCATCCCTGCAGGAGGAGAGTTGGAACGCTGGATTTTGGTAGGAAATCCCATAGCTGGGGATGTCAGGCTGTGCTGGAAGGCTGCAGCGTGGAGGAGGGATGTTGGAGCAGCACATCCCTTTGTACTCTGGGGCTCTCTGGATGTGGCTCTCCCTCCTTTTTTGTTTCCTATTCCAGGACTTGACCAAAATTTAATGGCATCATCTGATTTCACACTGAGCTTGGCAGAACATGGCATTTTGGAATCCCTGTTCCACTGAGCTTTGCCACATAGTCTTGACAATGGATAAAACAAGAATACCTAATTCAGGGGGTTTGTTGAGCCATGTGTGTGTTCCTGGGAGGTTCTCCTGGAAATGAGAGTTGGATGGAGACATTGGAAAGGCTCAGGAATATGGCCATTGAATGCACACTTGTATGCAGAGGTGGTTGGTTTTGCTTCTCCCAAGGGTTCTTGATGTGTCCCACACCAAGTTGTTCAATCTTGATTCATGTTCCCCCTCATGAAAATGGATTCTCTTGGCTTTCCTGCCTGGAAGGTGCTTTTCTGTGTAAATCAGGGAGACTTCCAGTGTTCTGTGGCTGTGCAAATGGAATTACTGTGTCCTTTGTTTTCTGTAGCAGGACAAAGACCACCAGTCCAGGAGGATATGGGGCTTACCAGGGGGGAAAGCTCTGGCTTCCTTTCAGAACGTAGGGAAATTGAGGATTAGGGAAGGCACTTTAAATTGTCACACCCTGGCCGTGTCTTTAGTTGGAAAAGGAGTTGTGCAGAGGGTGGAAACACTGCTGTGCTGTCCCTGTGAGCTGACAGTTGTCTCCTGGATCCCCCCCAGTCTGCCAAGCTGCGGAAGCTGCCGCCGTTCCTCACCGTGTCCCTGCTGAGGTTCAACTTCGACTTCCAGAAGTGCGAGAGGTACAAGGAGACGAGCAGCTACACCTTCCCCCTGCACATCGACCTGAGGCCTTTCTGTGAGCAGGTTTGTGCTGGGCCAGCTCTCCAAACCCTGCAGCCTCAGCAGAGCACCCGCACCTCACACTCGGGGCGTGGAGAAACCTCGGGGGGTTCTTCTGGCCCTCATTCCAAGGGTTTGTCCAAAAAGCCACTTTCTAACCGAGGGGGGAAATAGTTTGTAGCTCTCCAAGGGTGTAATAATTATGCAAAACTTAATCTGCCCTTTCCTTGAAAACTCCCAGACTTATCAGCTGGAAATGGAAATTTGTTTTTATATTGTCATTGTCTGACCATGTGGGGTATAAATTGAGCTGTATATGTTTTATGTGCTCCCAGTCATTCAATTTTTCTCAGGAATCTGTGTTGGAATTCATAGATATGATTTTGATTTAAAACTTGAGTTATACCATCACTTCCTGACAATTTTGGATCCTTAAAGAGCCTACTTACATAAATAAATAAAAATAATAATAATAAATTAAATAAATAATACTAATAAAATTTTTAAGTAGTAAATATAATAAATAAACAATAGTAAATGAATAGTGCTAAATAAAAATTTAAATAAATAATACTAAATAAATAATATTAAATAATAACAAATAAATAATATACAATGATGAAACACACATTGTCCTTATTGAACTATTGCAGTGCAAGCTTGGAAATTTCTCAGTGGTTGCATTTGAGGAAGGTTTTGTTTTTTGTTTTTTTTTTGGGCAACTTTAGTGCTTTTAAGTGGAGCTTGTTTTTTCTCTTGTCTTAAAAATAAGCCTGGTTGATCACAAACAGGTTGAGCTGCTCTATTTGCATTAATATTTGGTTATTATCCATTTGGAATTTTCACTTTTGGTCAGAATCCTTGGTGAAAAGGTTGCTTAGTGACACAGTGACACAGTGGCCTCCCCATCCCTGGAAGTGTCCAAGGCCAGGTTGGACAGGGCTTGGAGCAAGCTGGGCTAGTGGAAGGGCTTTCAAATCCCTCCCAACCCAACCCATTCCATGAATTTATGCTCCATGGTTTATATCAACCCTCCCCTGTGTTACCAGCACCAAAAAACCACATTTCAAGCTGCAAAAAACACGCCCTGAGAAATCTGTGCTGGTGTGAAACTGTCCTTGGGTGCAAGACTTACTGATGTGTGTCCTTGTGACTGTTATTATTTCTCTTTTTAAAGCCTGAAATGGATGATTCAGAGTACATGTATGAGCTCTTCTCTGTTATTATACACAAAGGTGGCTGCTATGGAGGACACTATCATGTTTATATCAGAGATGTGGATGAATTAGGAAACTGGCAGCTACAGGTAAGTCCTAAAGGTGGTTGGTTTTTTTTTCCCTTCCTTGCTTTATAGGCCTTTTTTTCCAGGAAAAGTGTGAATGAGCAGCCAAACTAATTAATATGTTATGAGGCTCGGAGTGTCTCATGTCCTTAAGAAGGATAATTAATCAGAATTTCCTTCTAATTTTACTACAGAATAATCACACCCAGTTGTGTGTGGTACAACAGCATCTGTGAGTCTCTTCTCTTTGTTGCACAGGAAGAAGAGGAAAAGCTGATTGAGGATAAGGCTGGAAGAGATGCTGAAAATTCCAAAGAAACTGAGAATCCACTGGCAGTCTTAAAAGGGATTTTAGCAGAGGTATGGTATGTAAGGGGCTTATTGCTTGGATTTTTGAGCCTGGAAGGGGTTTGTGTGTGTAAGAGTGGGCAGGTTTGAGTGTCCAGAGCTCCTCTGAACTCACTGGGAAGCAATTAAAACTTAAAAATGTGAGGCTGGAAAAAAAAAGAATTGAGGCTTGGAAAAAATTTGAGGCTTGAAAAAAAAGAATTGAGGCTGGAAAGGAAATTTGACAGTAATAGTTTCTCTTCATATAGAAAAAGGCCTTTTTTGAATATTTCTTAAGCTGCCCCCTACAGCTGTTGTAAAAGGTGATGTTACATTGGCTTATTAAAAACCAGGAATGATGGAAGCACTTCCAGACTGGCTTCTTTGTGCTGATCCCTTGACTTTTGGAGCCTTTGTTATCCCAGTTTTTCGTCTCTTTCCAGGACGACTCGAAGCAAATTCCCGTGGATCAATTAGGGCAGAAATTATTGGAGAAAAAAGGGGTGTCCTGGAATAAGAAATACAGGAAACAATATGGAGCGTTAAGAAAGGTATTCACATGGGTGGTAGTTTGGGTTTTACTGTTGAGATAACTTTATAATTATAATTTATATTCCTGTTGAAGAGTCAGTTGGATGATAATTGAAAATATGGAGCCTTGCACTAGCAAGGAGAAGTTTGTAAGGGGAATTTTGGTTGGTTCCAGCATGTCCATGAAATGAATACTCTGGGAAAATCTTGTTTTCCTGTTGGTTGCTGTGTTTTATAAAGTTTTAAGGAAAATACTTCAGCATTTGTGTTGTAGCTATGTGGGAATTCCATGGTTTGTTTGAATGGAGCTACCTGCTCTAATTTCACAGTAACTATGGATATGTGGGTGTGAAATCTGGATATGAGCCTTTTGCAGAGGGATAGAAACAATTTGTGAGCAACCCAGTGTTAAATAAACATTCCCAACTTGATGTGCTCTCGAAAATATTGCCAAAGACAAGTGCTGGGTCTCTCCCAAAGCACCTTGATCAGTGTGCTTGAAATGACTGGAAATTGTTTTAAGCTTTTGGAAATAGCAAATGAATCTTTGATTAAAACTGAGATTCAGGTTCAGTTGGGGGTTGTTTAATTTCTGTATTTGGTTTTGTAGATTTGTGGAGGGGTTTGAGGGTGCTTGGTGTGACAGAAAAGGTCAGGTGGTAAGAAAATAACGTGTTTTCTGTCTCCACTGAGGAAATGGCTGAGGAAGGCCCATGGAATGGAGGTGGAAGGGATGGGGTTTGTGGGGGTTTGTGACTCAGCTCGAGGATGGCTCAGGGGGAGCAGCTGCTGCATTTCAAACTCGGTGTCTTCATCCTGCCCTTGTTTCCTCTCAGTATTTGCAGCATCACCCTCAGGTGTTCCAGCTGAGCCCTGATGCCAACAAGGTTGGCCTGAAGGAAGCCCACGAGCTCCTGGTGGAGCTGGATTCTCCAGGCCAAGCTCTGCAGAGCCCTCCTCAGAGCAATGGTGTCCCCTGGAACTCAGAGAAGAGCCCCCCGAGGCCGAGGGCCACCTCTGCTGGTGGCCACTGGTTTGATCTCAACGATTCCAAAGTCCAGCCCATCAAGGAGAAGGATATTGAGAAACAATTCCAGGGTAAAGAGAGTGCCTACATGCTGTTTTACCGAAAATCCCAGTTGAAAAGACCTCCTGAAGGTACACAAAGCTCATCTTGATGTCCTGGGGGCTTCCTGCTGTGCCAGTTTTTCAGGCTGTTGGGCTTTTCTGTCCTTTTCCAAGAACTGGAGATTGAGTTTTCCTTGTAGTGATCCCTTGGAAAAAAAGGGTTAAATGAAATCAGTGGCCAGTTAACTGGCTATAGCTGATTCTAATTGTTTTTTAAATATGCTTCACAAATAATAGCAGAACATCCAAAACAAATGCAAGTTGCCGCTCATGGCATTTATATTAATTTCCCTTCAGGATTGATTGGGAGAATTCAGTTATTTGTTTGTTCTTTGTATCGTCTTGCAGTTGAATTTTCTCTATTCTGAACATAATTGCTTTTTCAATGTAATGTTTCATCTTGATTTTCTTGTTTGCCAAGCCACATTTGAAGCCAAACCAGCCTTTTATTCTTTGTGGCAGCACGAGGAAATCCGAGGTACCAAATTCCTGAGCACCTCCTGGATGAAATGAATGCTGCTAACACTGAGCTGCAAAAAAAGAGGTATATTGATGGCACTGTCCCAGGCTCAACCAGCTCTTCCCTGCAGGTCTCCAGAGGGATTTAAAGGGCAGAAACCCCTGAGTAGAGCCAGCTGTTGAAGTGATTCAGTGTCATGGAGGTTAATTGAAGAATGCCATTTGTATACCCAGATTCTGCCTTCTGGTGATTCCCTGCCTCCCTTTTAGGGGCATAAATAGGCATCTGATGGAATTTCAGTGCTTACAGTTTAAAATTGCCCCATTTTTTGGTGCAAATTGGTGCACTTTTGGAAGGAGAATGGAATGCATCATCTTACCTGGGTTTAGAGAGGGAGTTCTCCTGTGAGAGAAGGGGGGGAGTGACTTGTGTTGCTGTGAAAGAACAGCTACACTGGTATTCTTTGCCAGAAACAAGGGAAGAACTAGTGGTGTTCAGGTTGCTTGGAACTTTTCCTTGTGGGTGAGTGAGGATACACCTGAATCACAGCTGAATTATCAAAACAGAGGCACAGGAGTGACAGATTTTATGGGATTTTCACACAAGGCTGTGGCTGCCCCATCCCTGGAAGTGTTCAAGGCCAAGTTGGAGCAACCTGGTCTAGTGGAAGGTGTCCCTGCCCTTGAGGGACACCAGGGATGAGCTTGAAGGTCCCCTGCAACCCAAACCTGTCACCTTGGAAACATCTCCTCCCATAGCCTTGATGGGACAGGGAATTTAGCCATGGAGGGATCACTTCCAGCTGCATCTCTTTGTGGGTGTTCAAGTCACCCTTTTGTTGTTGTTCCTCTCCCCAAGAGCTGAATGTGACTCAGCCAACAATGGCATTGATTTACATCTCCATCTGAGCTCCTGCTACAAATTCCACAACGGGGCTTTGCATCCCTCCCTCTCCTGGAAAGAGAGCGTGGTGGATTTGACTATTGACAGGAGGAAAACCCTGGGAGACCTTCGCCAGGCAGTCTTCCAGGTATTTGCTCCCTTCAGTGAACTCAAACTTCATCTTTACCTGAGCCACAACAACATTTGCAAATGTACTTATGCTGCAGTTTTTATTTAAATGAGGAGTTTTCAACTGTAAAAGTGAGGCTAAAAACTCATGTGGGTTTAGAAATAAAGGAATAGTGGTTTGGGGTCTGTTCTTGAAAACATGAAACTGCTGAAAATTTAACTAAATTTGACTAAAAACTCATTAAGTTTTCAGCAGTTTCATGGCTTCAAGAGCTAAAGAGCTTCAAGACTTTAAAGCTCTCATAAGATAATTATTTCTTATGGATTGACACTTAAAATGTCATGTTGGAACAGATTTGTCTTGATCTATTCAAGGTGTCCAGAGGTGAGCTTGGGAGCCAGGCCTGTAACAGCTTCCAGCAGCTTGGAATACCTACTGTTATTTTATATAATGTTATATAAATTTAATAATTTATATAAATTTACATGACATATATAATATCTAGTATTTATAATGTTATATAAATTTAAATAATTTATATCAGATAACTTTATATAATACAAACTATGCAAATACAATATTTATTTTAGAACTTCTATAATATTTCTATAACGTTTATTATGTTTTATAGAATAGCATATAAATATGACATTTTAATAACACTATCTAAATATATATAATATTTATGGAATTCTTCTGGTGATTTTTCCCAATGAGATGTTGGACTCCTGGGAAGGAGACATGGTTCTGAGTCTGGCCAAGCCTTTACCAGCAGGATTACATCTCTACCAGATGCTTGATGGTAAGGCCACTACAATCAACGCTTCCATGTTCTTTATATATTTAATTTACTGCAGACATCAAAGATTTCACATATAAACCATCTTGGAGATGTGTATCTCTGAACACTCTTCCAACTCAAACTTCCTATTCCATTATTTCAGTTATTTATTTCACTCTTATTAGTGAAATGAATGATTTTGGGACTTTTCTGGGTAATCTTTGCTGTGAAGTGCAGTGAGACTTCAGGTCTTAAAACAAGTTAAACATATTTCCTGATAAAAATATGTCAGTGTGTATTTTGTCCTTGATTTGCTTTTGGATGTTTGCTCTCATAGGATTTTCTTGGTAGGTGGAGGAGAGGATGGAAGTGAAGGAGAAAATGTGGGGAAATATAGGAAAACATAAGCTAAACTTAAGCTGAAGTAGGAATTTTGTAAAGGGGAATACTTACATAAAGAGTACATTAATTTATTAAGAGCACTAGTTTTTAAAATCATCCTTTTTGTCTCCTTGCTAGGCAATTCTAAGTGTTAGTCTTGAAAAACTTTTTCAGCCCCTTTTAAATTTGAGAGAAAATCAGTGTTTTACCAGCACATAACCCGACTCTAGGATGTTGGTATAAAATACAGAGACACTCCTAGTGCTCTAAATATTCCTCCCACAGTTCTTCAAGTGTCAAGGACTTCAAAAAACCCCTGGGTCTGACTTGCTAATCCTGCTTGTGTGTTTGGGGGGGGGGCAAGAAGCTCACAATTTGCTTGTTTTTTAGGAGATGAGCTGAGCCTGGATGGCATTGGGATGGCTGATGGAACAGACATCTTTGTGTGGAATGGGAAAGAGGTAAAAGGGCCAAATACCCTCCTGCCTTGTCAGTTCTGAAGGGATAAGACTGTGGATGCTCTCCCTGAAATTTTCCAGTCTCGCATCTTCCCTTTGATAGAATATTAAGGCTTCTGCTTAACTTTGAATTGCTCATGAAACACAGCATTTTATTCTGTCTGGGTAGCAGATTAAAGAGTTATTTTTAAAAGGCATCTGTTGTAAAAGTATTCGTTTCCTTCCAGGTTTATCAAAGAAAAACCCCAAACCAAACCTAAAACCCCAAAAGTCCAGAACCAGAATTGCTTTTGTCTTGGTTGTGCTTTTAGGGTAGTTTTTGGGGTAGTTTTTACTTCAGCTTTCTGTGTGATTCAGTTTTCTCCAGCAAGGAACTGTATTTATTGCTTAGGTTCAACGTCAGGTTTTAAAATCTAACTCTTTTGATCTGCCTCAGTCACTTTTGGGTAGTTCTTTAATATCCTGAGAGGCCAAATTCCTTTATTCTTACTCTGATGGAGACAGGTGTCCCCTGGTTTCCCAGCTACTGTTACCATGGAATAATTTGGCTTGGAAGGACCTTAAAGCTCATCCCATGGGCAGGGGCACCTTCCACTATCCCAGCTTGCTCCAACCTGGCCTTAAACACTTCCAGGGATGGGGCTTCTCTGGATAACAGCCCTCGGGGGTTGTCCTTTCTCCTCCCAACCCCTTTGAGTCACTCTGGTCGTTCAGCAGGGAGCTGCTTTGTATCTAATGAGGAGGGGAGCGTCCACCTCTCTGCCTGGATGATTTCCTTGCTGCCCAGCCTGCCCTGCAATCCCTGACTGTGGAATTGCTGCCCTCAGGTGGGAGGCACCAGGGTGCTGGCGGGCGCCGAGCACGAGCCCGTGGTGCTGAACGTGCTGCGCCTGGCGGGGCACAACGAGGGAGGCAAGGGCCAGCACTTCACCGAGGCCCAGCACACCTTCTCCTGCAGCACCAGCCTGGGGGACCTGCACAGAGCCCTGGCTCCCTCGGGGGGAATCGTCCTCAGGAACAGCTCTGGAGAAGAGAAAGAAGCCAAGAACTGGGAGGTTTTCCGCGAGGAGGATATGGAGGAGACGATCCGAAGCGTTGGTCTGAGGGACGGGTGCTCAGTGCTCATCTTGGACAGCCACGACCAGAGGTGACCACTTTGATTAGGAGCATGATTAAACACAAATGATACATTCTTGTAACTAATTATCACTTTACCTTGCTTTGTATTTAAAAGGTCAGTCTTAGGTTCTGGAGAACAGACACTTGTCAGCTGTTAGACATTCTTTGCTCTCCAAGTGCAGGCACACATCCCTTTGACTTCCACTTGGAAAGTGGGAAAAAACCTGGTGGCAACAAGATGTGCTCAGTGTGCTGGCAAATATTGGGCATAACCTGAATTTCTGAGGGTTGAGTCTGAGGGACTTGGGGGGATGAGAGGGCAGAGCAATATCAGAAGACAATCAGCCCAAGCTGTGCCAGGGTGAAGCCACCATAAGGTTTTATCCTTTAAGGGGAATCTCCCAGTTGAATGTGAAATTATCAGATTCAAATTTCTGCTCTCCTTACACTTCTGTGCTGCCTGACCCTCACCCTGTGATGTTCCATCACTGTTAATGACCTCAGAATCATCAGTTTGTTTGGGAGCTTTGCTGGGGAGTGACCTACCCTGACAACGGGCAGCTTTCCTGTCTCTGACTGTCTCTGCACTGTTGATTTTCACAGCTTTGTGAACATTTCCAGTGGCAATCTGACAGCCTTTACCTGTGACATCAGCTGGCTCCAAGTGAAGAACTTCTGTGGGGCAGAAGATGAAGAGAACCAAGTTAAAATTACTGCCACTATTGAAACAGTAAGGACTCTGCTTGGCCAGGGCTCTTTTCCTCAGGCTTGCCCACTGCCCTTTGCCCAATTAGTCAGGTTTAGCCTCAGGGATGAAGTAAGTTTTTCTCTGCTGAAGATACTCTGGAGCTCAGAAGTTGCCATTATTGGGGTATTTGGCAGGTAAATTAAACCAGGGCAGTGTTTTAGTGTGAAGCAGTTTTGATTTTTGGCCCATCCTGTGTGTTTGAGGTGATAGCAGGAAACCAAAACTGAAAGAGGAGGGAGGGATTATTTGTTGCTCTTTGTGGAGTGGCATTTATCCAGGCAGGGGTGTTCCTGGCATTCCCTGCTGGAAGTGTTAAAATTCCTTTCTTTTAGGTGATGTCAGATATCAAAATGAAAGCAATAAGGGAGCTTCACCTGGAGGAGGAACTTGGTGAGTGTTCACCTGCTTCACCTTTGTCTGATAACACTCAATTTACTGAATTTACCAGGATTTTCCTGGTTTTTCCATCAGTCTATTCAAAACAGCAAATCCATTGCTGTTAGGAGGTTTTTTGTTTGGTTTTTTTGTTTGTTTTGGTTTGGTTTTTTGTTTGGTGTTTCTTTGCTTGGTGTTTTGTCTGTTTTTTGTTTGGGTTTTGCCTGGTGTTTGGGTTTTGCCTGGTGTTTGGGTTTTGCCTGGTGTTTGGGTTTTGCCTGGTGTTTGGGTTTTGCCTGGTGTTTGGGTTTTGCCTGGTGTTTGGGTTTTGCCTGGTCTTTTTTGGAAAGAAAGAGGCTGCAAAGGAGCTAAAACTCTTTTAATTTTAAATTGAATTATTAGTTTTCCAAGCTTTAAGAAAATAAATCAGTATAAGTCTTGATTAAAATGCATTTCATGAGGCTCTTATTTTACTTATTTGAGTAGGAATATTTGTGTTGTGTTACTAAAGTATTGTACTCACTATTTAAGAAGTTTTTTTTTTTAACTTTATTCCTTTCTGGAAGAGTCTCCAGTTTTCTTTCAAGTTTTTGTTGTCTTTCCCTTTGGAAGCACTTGGCCAGATTTGTAAAATTTTGCTGATTGCACTTTAAAAGAGAAAAGTGATCCTTCAGCAAAAGAATAAAAGACTGTTTGGGGACTTTCTGGGAATTTCTCCAGTTGGGTTTTTGATGTCATGGGTGGGGACACCTGTTGTAATTAATCTAATGGTAATTAATCTTAATTCTGAGCCAAATTTCTTACTTGAATTATTTAATACATCTCTCTCTCCTTCCCTTTTTGTTACAGCAAATGAGAGCTGTCTTAGACCTGTTAGTGGGAACGGGAAACTTTTGTCTCCAGGTAAATTGATGTATTCCATCCTTGTTCTGTAAGGAATCACTGAGGAGATCTGAAGCTCCCCTTTGTCCTTCCCTGGGAGAAGAACTTCCCTGATTTCCAGACTTAACTGAAGCAGTTGGGTGGGGTTTTTTCCCCCCAGTTTTTAGGTTCATTAGCAGCAGCCACACAAAGGTAGAGGTCAAACTTATTTGGTTATTGCCATCCCTAATTCCAGCTGTCAGTGTTTAACTGTGCTCCTGTGGGGCAGAGCTGGGCACAAAGGGACCCCCAGCTTTGGTTTGGGTGGTGTTGGAGCAGTGGAGAGAAGCTTCCTGGGAAACATTTTCCATGTCCTTGCTATTTTATTCATACACTGCATTAATAAAACCCAAGGAGAGATTGATTGCCTTCCACTGAGTGCTTGTCAGACAACACCTGGAATGTTGTTCCTGTTCTGGGGGCTCAGCAGGAGAAAGGAGCCCTTGCAAACTAAAACCTGTCCAGTTCAGAGCACCCAGAGGGTCTGGGAGCTGGGCTGGATGGCAGAGGAGGGAAGCTGGGGAGGAGTCTTGATTGCCATCTTTAACTCCTTAACGTGGAATCTTAGAGAAGGCAGAGGCAGATTCTTCCTGGAGGAGCACATGGAAAGGATCAGAGGCAGTTTCAGTGAGGGAAATTCCAGCTGGGCTGGTGGTGGGGAAAAAAGGGATTCACAGTGGGAGTGGTCCCAATGATAGACAGGGAGCCCTGGGAGATCTCCATCTCTTTGCTCTCATTGTAGGAGACTTGGAGATCTGCGGGCAGAGCTGGGGAAGTGAAGTTCTCCAAAGCTCATGGAATGGTTTTATCTTGCTCTAAAGAGCAGCTGGATAGAATTGATGTTTCCAGGAAGCAGCAGCTGATGATGCTCTCCATGTTTTTATCCTCCCTGAAGTGCCTGAGGATTACACTGTCAAGGAAGCAGAACTGAAGATGGGAAGCTTGCTTGGGTTGTGCCATGGGAAAGCTCCAACTTCCACTCAGGTAGAGCTGTGAGGGAAAGTGTCTTGTGCATCTCCTCTGTAAAGGGCACAAAGGATGCCAAGGGGGCTATTGCTCTTGGAATCTCCAAGTTGTAAACCTCATGGAATCCCAGAATGGTTTGGGTTGGAAGGGACCTTAAAGCTCATCCCATTCCACTCCCTGCCATGGGCTGGGACACCTTCCACTAGCCCAGGTTGCTGCAAGCCCTGTCCAAGAGGAGGAGTTGTGGAGTTAATGAATAACTCTAATATCTTTACTGCTCTGTCTGTGCTGCTTGGCTCGGTTGCTTTAGCCCAGAGGTGTTTCAGTGCAGTTTGATGCCATTCCTGCAGCAGGGAGTGGTTATTTCTCACTATTCCCATATTTATTCTGATCCCATTTTTAGCTCTTCCTGTACTTTATGGTTGGGAGTGACCCAAACTCGAGCCCTGAGATGGAGATAGTTGTGGAGGAGACTGCCTCTGTCGGAGAGGTAAGGCAGCTTTGGGAATTCCTGGCTCTGCTGCTCCTGCAATACATTCCCTACACCCTTTGCCTCACATGGAATCGGAGGGAGAGGAGTTGGGAAGAGGAAACTCTCAGTGCTTCCAGTGATGGCAAGCTGGAAAGTGTTGAGTTTGCAGATTTAGATATTTAAAAAGTTCCTCTGCAAACTTGGGGACAGAATTTATCCAAATAAGGATTTCTTCAAAATTTGTTCAAAAAAGGAACAAACTGACAGCAAAGGTTTATTTTTTTAACAGTTGGGAAAAGCTGACTGAACTGAGGGGAATTTCTTGCCTGAAAACCATCTCATCTCCCTGGAGGGTTTAATATACAGCTCAAGAAAAAAATACATCTTGTCTATCTAATTATATTATTAAAAGAAATGCCCAGGAATCAGTCAGTCTTTGTTAGAAAATGTGCTGAAAACTTTTATTTCTCAACCTGGGCATTGAGACAAATCTCACCCTGTGTTTCTTTTTTCAGTGTCTCAATTTAATGCTGCAGAAATGTGGATTATCAGGTTTGTTGTGTTGGTTTTTACTTTTAAAAGGAATTTTTCATATTTCTTAGACAGCTCTTGCCACCCTAAACCTTGTCTATTTGTTGCAATCATCTGTGAGGAGAGGAAAGAATTCTAAACTTGCTGTCTTTATAATGTAATTTTTATTTTAAAGAGCTTGTCATAGATTCAAATGGTAAATTGACATTGGAATTCCTTCCCTTTCCTCTTAAACCAGGGAGAATTAGGTGGGTGAGGAAGAGACATTTATGCAAAGTGTTTCTTGGGTCTGGGGAAGGGCATGAAGGCGATACTTGATTTAGTCAGAGTTGTGTTTAAAAACCAAACAGAAAACCCAAGAAAAAAGAACCTTTTATGCTTATTAAGTTGTGTGATGTTTTCCCAAACCAGCATCGTTGGCTAATTAGTTTTGCATGTGTATTTTTTGGTTTTTGGTAGGTGATAACTGGCATTTGAGAAGGCTTGACTGGTGCTATGAAGCAGGGGAAGCACTAAGTCAGGAAGTAAGAGGATCCTCTTTTTGCCTTGAGTTTCTTTCCTCCCTGTTCTGTAGAGACTTTTCCTGGGCAGAGCTGCATTGAACAACTTGGGGATTCACAAATAGCCTGGTTTTTCTCTTCCCACAGAATGCCACCCTGAAGGAACTCAATGTGTGCAGAGGAGACACTTTGGTCATTACGGAAGGAAAACTTCCAGAAAAGGTAAAACAAGAGGGATTGTGTTTTTAGTCAGTGGACAGAGACTTGGAATCCCAGAATCCCAGAGTGGTTTGGGTTGGAGGAGACCTTTAAGATCTTCTCATTCCCCCCCCTGCCATGGGCAGGGACACCTTCCCCCAAAAGATCCCATCTCAACCGTGCCCTCTGGTTATTTGGGGCAGAATTCAACAGCTAAGTGGAATCATGGAATCCAGCATTGGTTCGTGCTGAAAGGGACCTTAAAGCTCATCCCAGTCCCACCCCCTGCATGGCAGGACACCTTCCACTAGCCCAGGCTGCTCCAAACCCCATCCAGCCTGGCCTTGGACAATTCCAGGGATGGGACAGCCACAGCTTCTCTGGAGAACCTGCTCCAGGGTCCCACCCTCAACCTGCTCTTCAGCTCCTGGATTACAGAAAGCTCAGGGTTTTTCCCTTCATAGACAAATCTCATCCAAGTGACTGTCACACACCTGGCACCTGTTCCTTGGACTGTGGAAGGAAAGGAGGGTAATAAACACAACTGGTGATCCAAGAGGCATGGAAAACCATGGATCTCTGCCCCAGCTGTATCCCATGAAGGGTTGGGAAGCTGGAAATTGCAGAGTAGAAGACAAGTGGGCAGAGAACGGGGCTCTTAGCAAGTAAAGCTTCCTCAGGGAAAACCAGAGGTTTGTAATACATTTGTTCTAGGGAAAAAATGTAGGATAAGAGGTTATTGCCACAGTGCTGTGGGTGTTGAGAGCAGCACCTGGAAGCAAGGAAGCTCTCCTGCTCAGGAAAGGAGACAGAGATCAACTCCATGTCCCTTCCTGGCCATGCAGAGCGGGTGGGAAAACCTATCAGGAAAACCAGGAGTTTCTGAAGAGGCTGAGCAGTGTTGTAGTGGGTGAGCTTTGATGAATCCCTGGATTAGATGTTGGGAAGAAATTCCTCTCTGTGAGGGTGGGGAGGCCCTGGCCCAGGCTGCCCAGGGAAACTGTGGCTGCCCCATCCCTGGAAGTGTGCAAGGCCAGGTTGGAGCAACCTGGGCTAGTGGAAGGTGTCCCTTGCAAAAATGTAGCATCAGTAGGGCTGGAAAAGACCTTTAAGGTCATCAAGTTCAACCTTTAACCAGTACCATCATATTCACCCCTAAACTGTGTCCCCAAGTGCCACATCCATGCTTTTGAACACTTCCAGGGGTGGTGTCTCCACCACTCCCTGTTTCAGAACTCCCATTTGAAGGAGTCTTTTCCTCCTTCGTGTGACAAAGGGGAATTTTTTTTCCTTTGCACTGAAACAGAAACTTCCCGGTGCTTTCTGTTCACTTTCCAGGGTTTCCTGAAAATTCCCATCTGGTGGCTCAGGCCTTCAAGCCACAAGAAACATGGAGAGAATGCTCAGGACCAAGTGAATGGGCTAACCTGCCAGATGGAAGCTTTGCAGGTGTCTGCTGGGACAGGTGAGCTTGGCCAAGCTTGGGAAGGAATCACCTGGGGTTGCTCTGAGGGCTTGGAGTCAACCCCAAAACTTTAACACAAAGCCTTAAATCCTCCTGCAATCCACAAGGCACTGTACAAGTTGCAGCAAGTCTGTGGTGAAAGGAGACAAAGGGGGTTTGTGACAAATCCATAAATGCTGGATAATCCTGTTGTGATGTTCCTCAGGTGGATTTTCTCAAGATCTCAGTACATTTTGAAGCAAGGGCTCTTTATTCTGTCCCTGAAGGCAATGGCAGCATTTTAAAGCACAGAGGTGATTTGGCTTCAAATGCCAGACTCCCAATAGCACATTTAATTCCCTTCAGGCTGTTTGGCTTTTTGGGAAGCTGGAAAAGGAGTGAGGAGTAAAGCTCCCATGGTATAAAGGACCTCACATGCAGGATTTTAAGTGTGTGTGTTCTTTTAAAGGTCACATCAAAAACCAGCTGGGGTAGGAAAACCAAGGGAGGGTGGAGAAGGGAGAGGGAAATGAAGTGAGAATCACTAAATTGGAAAATGGGAAACAAACAGATTTTCCTTTCTACAGGAAAAGAATATTTCTTTGCTGCTGAGTTGTTTTGGAGGGCAGGAGGACCCCTCTCCTTGGAGGTTTCTTTGTGTTTTTCTCCTCTTGTGTTTTTCTCCTCTCTCTCAAACCTTTTCTGGGTTTTACTTTTTCCCCTGACGATTTCAGCAGCTAAGGGCAGACTTACCTTTCCTTGCAGTAGGATATACATTTCAGAGTCATAACCAACAATTAATCCTATTTATCAATGGGAATAACTGCTCCTATTTTAAAAACTGGCATTCTAGGATCTGTTGGAACCCTCCTTGTTTGGAAACTGTTGGAATGGTTTTTATCTACTGTGTATAAGTAGATCCTACTGTGCTTATTCTAGTGGAAGGGAGTGGCAGGGAGTTGGATGCTTAAGATCTCTTCCAAGCCAAACCATTCTGGAATTCCATGATATTCTGATTCTCTACAGAACGATGGGAGGGCAGGTCCCGTCTGGAAGTGGAATCTCCCCACGAGGGGACTGTGATCTCTCAGGATTATGAACAAAATCATGATGACTCCTCTGTTTCTTTCTCCCCCCTTCCCAAAGCTTCCCCAGAAGCCACCCACCCAGCCATGGAGCTTTGTTATGCTGGCAGGATAGAAATAGCAGGAGAAGCTTCTCTGGAGGAGCTGAAGCTGCAGGTGAGATGTTCTCCCTGGGGGGACTGGAGCCCTGGTAACACCTCCCGTGCACTGCCTTTTCCCCACTCTCCAGTGTGTTGGGGCATTTCTTTACCATGCTCAGGGCTGAGTACCAAGGGGCAGTTGGAGCATGTGGCTCAGACACTTCCTGAGTGTCCCTGCAGCTCCCCTCCTCCCCCTCGTGATTCCTGGCCTGGGGAAACCTCGTTGCACTTCACCTGGAACTCTGGCTTTGCAGCCTTTGGCTTTGCATCACTGGGTCCAGTTTCTCCATGAGAGGCACACACATCCAGGCACTTCCTAAAAAAGCCATTTTCCATTCCCACATTGTTCCTCTTTTAGTTTTCTGCTTCTTCTTTTGATTTTTTTGGTGTTGAAGCTGGTGGATAAAGAATTGCTCTGGGTGCACAGAAGGTCACGTTTGTCATTCAGGAAGGTCTGGTTTAGTTTCTTTGGCCAGAAACTAAGGTGCCTTTGCTTTTTTTTAACCAGAAACTTAAGATTTTAACACACCAAAACCCAAAAACCAAACAAAACACCCCAAAAGGAAAAGAAACCCCAAAACCCAACCAAAAAACCAGCACAAAAATACATGAGCTAGTCCTACCAGAAGGCTCTTTGTTGTCCTGAACTGCATGGGGAAGGATATCTCATTAGATTCTGGTCCATCCCAACACTTATTTTTTGGGAATGCCTTTGGTTTCAGGCTCTGCCAAGCTCCTGCTATGGAAAACTGCCTGTTTGCAGCTTGGGAACAGAATTGTCTGAGCACGGGAAGGGGGGAGTCCTTGGTGAGGACGTAGAGGAGCTCGTAGAGACTGGGAAACGATTCCAACAGCCTCATTCCCTCCCAGATGTTCAAATTTTGCTTAAAAAAAGAAATTTGGTACTTTTGGAATATAAGTTGAGTTGAGAAATGTTGGGAGGGAGTGAAGCCCAACTCCCTTTGAAAAGGGAATATTTTGATCGTAACCACAAGCAACAGCTGGTGTGCAATAAATGCAGTTTTGAGTGTTGCCTTGGGAGTTAATCCAGTGGTTTTCTCTTTTTCCAAGGAGAATGGCTGCTAAAATTACTGACAAGATGTTCCTTTCTCTAAGGCCCTGACCTTGCCATGCTGCCAGGAGCAGGTTGTGCCCCTGCCCTCGTTCCTCAGGGCATGGACAGTGGACAGCAAACGCCCTGGAAAGCTCCTGAGGAACAACAAGCAGAGACTCAAGTAGGTTTTTTGGGGAATGTGCAACTGGCTTTGCAACTGTGGGAGGGATTGGTGGGGAAATAAACCAGGTGCCTGTCAGCAGAAAGCCCATTTCTGATTGCTTCGGTTTTGCTGAGCATCTTTTTAAATTGGGATAA